AAAATTAAGAAATTATCAGAACTTTCAAGTACCTTAAAATTAAGTGCTTAAGAAATTCTTGGTCTTTTAAAATAAAAAAGATGAACCTAACCTAGGCAACCATTTTTATCATAACATTAACTATAATAGAAAAACATTAGAAATAATCTAAATGTCTATTAGCAGGGAAAGCATACTTAAAACACAAGGGATTAAACATACATTTATCTTTTCTCTTTCCTGATGCCACTCTCCCAGAAAAAGGAAAAGAATTTTAAAAGGCATAAAAACCAAAGAACAGAAGAGACAGTAATGGAAGAGAGGTATCAAACTTTTAGAAGCCAAAACGCAGATGTTACTAAAACAGTGTTTTCTATCTAGGGCCATTTGTTCCCCAGAGGTTATCTGGCAACACCTGAAGACATTTTTGGTTGTCACAGCTGGAGGGGGTTGTGCTACCATCATACAGAGAATAGAGCCCACGAGTGTTACTAAACATCTATGGTGTATAAAACAGCCCTGCACAACAAAGAATTATCTGGCCCAAGATGCAGACAGTGCCGAGGGAGGTTGAAAGCTACCGTTGGGGTGCGTGGGCAGAGCACTAAACCATCATGCCCAACTCACACACAGAACTCCCAAAGGCTCGGGAACTAGAGATAGCCAGAACCTCTGAGGGCCAAGGGAAGGGCACAAACGAAAACAGGAATGATTTGATCCCAAGATTCTCCTCTACCCGCTCACTCAGCTAGTCGACTGGCTCTCCTGCACCCCTCCAGAGGCATATGTGTTTACTTTCTAGAGGAACTCAGTCAGAAAGGCCTGGGGTCACCCAGTCCAGCTGAGGACAGGCAATAAAGCATTAAATTGAAAAACGGGGGTTAAATGAAGTGATGCATACTAAATGTTGACACGCCATAACCCACCACTCCCACTCAGCTTCCAGAATGCTGGTAATATAGCACACATTGCCCAGGCAAGAGAAAATAGACTATTGCAAAAGAAAGATTCTGATATTGATATTTGAGTCCCCCCCCCACCCCCACCACAAATAGCTACCCTAGTTCCGGGCTTCAGAGATTCTGAGCCATCCCCCACAATAAAGCCCACCAGGTACCAAACCCCATTCATGAACACAGATGCTCCAGTCAGCTTTGTAGTGCCTCACTCCTAAATATCACAGGCAGCCTTCGAGCCATTTGGGGAAAGCCTCTACCATAGAAGACAGAACAAAAGAAACAGAGGATAGGAATATTGGGCAAGAAGACAATGAAGAGAGAAGAATAATTTTTAAAACCTATAAGTAATAGTCTCACAGATGCGGAAAAATATTAAAATTATGATGGAAGAAATAAGAAATTCAAAAGGGTGGAAAGATCATTTGAAGAAAGTAGAGGGAAAACTAAAAGAGAAAGATGGAAAATAGGAGACAAAACCAAGAAAATGAGAGGATCAATACAAGAGACTAAACATTCTACCTTAGAGGCCCCATAGAAAGAAAAGAGAAAAATACAGATTTTTTTTCAAAGAAATAATGTGAGAAAATCTCTCAGCTGGAAAGATCATGAATTTCCAGATTGAATGAGACTACCAAGTGCCCAGTACAATACATGAAAACAAGCCCATAGCACGGCACATCACTGTGTAATTTCCAGATAGTAGAAGACATAAATCAAGGATAGTTAAACAAAAATAAATAATAGGAATCGAAATGGCTGAGACCTCTTAGTTGCAATAGGAAAACTAAAAGTCAGTAGAGAAATTCTGAAGGGTGATTTCCAACCTGGAATTCCATACCCAGTCAAACTATCAAGTTATTTTCAGTCATGCAAAGTTTTAAAATGTTGCCTCCAACATAATATTTTCTCAGGAAACTACTGAAGATATTTCACCAAAATGAGGAAATAATACCAAGAAGAAAAGATGTGAAATCAAAGAACTCTCATATGACAAAAAGTTGTATAAGAAAGGAAATATAATCAACTACCTGTTTCAGCATGCTCATTAAAATGTAAACATTAACTATTGATTTAATGTAAAAATTTTCTAAAGATATAGCAAGAATGAGAGAGGGGAAATATGGGAGTGAAAGTTAATTTGTGTGTATGTGTTTTTCTAGGAGAGGAGGGATCAGAGGTGGTAAAAGACCTAAACTCTCATCTTCCATAGGAAAATCAAGAGGTAACATCTGAAACACACACAAAAAAATTAAGATAAAGCAATATGAACATGTTATTTAAAAATTTGGAAGCAAATGCTACAACTGCTAAAAACTTGAAAGTAGCTGCCTCTGGAGAGTGAGAAGTATGGATAACTTGGAAACTGCTGGTTTTCACAACAACTATGTAGTACTACATAGCCATTAATATGCATTACTTTCATAAGAATAAAAAACCATTGAGTAAAAATATCACTAAAAAGGATGAAAGAGGTAGGTATGAACAGTTTTTAGAATACATTAAACCAAAATAGTGTGTTGCTAAACTATGAATAATATCACATTTATGCTTTTTAAAAAATCTATAACACACACAGGTAACTGCACATATAGCACTAAATTCACAAAGAAAGGTCTGGAAGGATACTCATCAAACTCTAGAGGGAGAGTGGGATTAGACGTGAGGGAGAGATGGTGGTAATGGGGCCTTTGATTTTTGTTCTATACGTGCTTCTGTATTGTTTAAATTTTTTTTACAATAAAGTATCTATAAATATTTTTTAATGACACAGGTAAATGTTCATAATATATTGTTACCAAAAAAAGCAGCTATAAAGGTACGAATTTGCTATGATCCCTATTGTGTGTTTTTAAAAATGTAGCTTCTAAATTAAAAAAAATAATAAATCAAAAGAACACCTTTGTCTCAAACAAAATATTACTCAACCCCCAATTTAAGCAGTAGAAATTAACCTGCTCTGAATAAAAGAGGAGCAGGGATCCAGTGCTCTGACCAGGTAAACATCTCTCTCCCCAAGGCCTTCCACGGCTCCCAAGGCAACCGCAGGGTTCCTGGCAGCACAGTTTGAAAACGACTACTATCATAAAGAGGAAGGAAAGAAAAATCTCCTAACAGGACTTTCTCTGAGATGGGGGATTATGAGTGATTTTTCTTTTCTTTTGTATGATACACATACAAACATACTTTTTCTATGGATTTGGAACGGTTTAAGTAATAATTATCTGTTCCCTGAACATACCTGTATAACCACCTAAACCTGATATATTTGTAGGGGTGAGAGTAGAGATTGCAACAGAGCTTTTCAAGTTATTTTTCTATATTCACATTGCCTATTTCTTAGGCTGACTTTAATCATTTGTATTTTTCTAGAGAGTTTTTTATTTTCATAATTTTCAAATTTATTGAATAAGTTTAAGATTTCATTCTTTTCAAAAATTCAGTTTTTAAAACATTATTTTTCAACTTTCTGGCCCAAGGTGGCTTCCTCTGCAATTATGGGGACATTTTTTACTTCTATTATCCTTTCAATGGAATTTTTTCAGAAGTGAAAGGTAAAAATCATGGGCTCAAAGTATAGGATAGTATGTAAGAATTCAGTCTCAAGAATCAGAAAGATCAATGTTTAAATTCTGCTTCTATCATTTCTTTGCTGTAGCACCTTGAATATGTTACTTAAATTCTCAAGGCTTCTGTTTTCTAATACAACAGAATAATTATGGTAGTTATCACCTAAGCTTGTTAACAGAGGTAAATAGGAAAATGCAGGTAAAGCACCGACTGTATCATTTGACAAGCAGTAGTACTCAATAAACATTAGTTATCATTGTTAAAACGGGAACACTGGTCTGAATTTTTTATCACTTACTGTCAAACAAAACGGAAGCAACATTTTCCACTACAGCCTGATCATATAGATAATAAACTTTATGGATATGCTTGACAATCCCAATTTATTAAGACTGTTATCTAATCACAAGAATACAACCTAACTTCATTAATTACATTTGATTACTCAACGTTTGTAATCTGTCTGTTCTACAGACAACACTTAGAAAAATTTCCTTTCAGTAAATCTATAGAACAAATATGTCACTTATTGTGAACAAATGTATCACTTATTATAGTACTTTTAAAAACTAATCAAGTACTCAAGTATACACCCAAAAGAACTGAAAGCAGGGACTCAAACGGGTATTTGTACACCAATGTTCAAAGCAGTATTATTCACAATAGCTCAAAGGTGAAAACAACCCAAGTGTCTATGGAAGGATGAATATATTAATATAAGCAAAATGTGATACAGACAATGGAATATTATTCAGCCTTAAAAAAGGAAGGCTATTCTGACACATGCTTCAACATGGATGAACTCTGAAGGCATTATGCTAAGTGAAATAGTTTAGACACAAAAGGACTATGTATGATTTTACTAGTCTGAGGTACTTCATTGAGAGTAGTCAAATTCATAGAGACAGAAAATAGAATGGTGGTTGCCAAGGGTTGAGGAGAGAGGGCAACATGGAATCAGTTTTGCAAGATAAAAAGAGCTCTGGACATTGATTACACAATAATATGAATGTATTTAAAACTACTGAATTGTACACTTAAAAAGGGTTAAGATGGTACATTTAATGTTATGTGTATTTTGAAAAGTCATCAAGTGCCTAAGTGGTAGCTTTTCTTTATTTGATTCTATATAGTACAATTTATAATCCTAGGACAACACTTTGAAAATGTGTCATAAGGCTAGACTAGATATGTCATTCAGCTTGTTCAGAGGGTAGACATTACGCTTCTGCTCTCTCACACTCCAGTTCACTGTGTGCTAAGTCCTGAAGAGGTAGGGATGGGGGTACTCACACTTTATCTACTTTGCAAATATTCTCCATTTGTTTTTGGTTTTATACTGCATTTTTCTTTTAACATTTGTTTTGCTTTTATGGTGAATTCTGTTTAAAAATTAGTTAAAATTTTTATAATATTTTAAAGCATATCTTTTTATTTTTAAAAAAGTAGAAAACAGAAGAATAAAAATTTAACTTTTTCTTCCCAAGTACTCACATTCTCAGGTATGCTGGGAAGTTCTCTGGTATCAGGCACAGTAAAATAAGAATGCTGGAAAAGAAAAGCAAAAGCTATTTATTTTTGCTAAAATGTATAACAAGCACATTACCCAGAATTCAGGTAAATGACTGGAAGATATTTCCTTACTCAGATGAGCAAACACAGTTTCACTCATAGGAAATATTCATGGACCACTTTCTTTGGATAATGTTGGATTAAACCAGATGCATTTTAAAATCATCAGTTTGGCAGATGGAGTTCTTTTCTATGAGAGATGAACTTCTTTGGGAGATACAAAGGAAGAGCTCAAAAAGGTTAAAAGTTAAATTCCCATATGATGTTTGTAGGTTTCTGAACACACGAAAGCTATAGGTTTCATAATTTATTGTTCAATGAGGCAACTAGATCCTAGGGACAAAATATCACTAGATTCAGTCAACGATGGCTTTTACCAACCAAACCTGTCATTTCCTTTCAGCATCTGAGATTATATCCATCTACAAACTGTGGCCAAAATCTGCCCCAAAGGCCTAAGTGATGTTAAGAACAGCTCCAGATGAAGGACCGCTACTCTGAGACCATCGCAGATGGTTAACAGCGGAGAAATCCTGTCCACTAAGCACACTCTGTGAATAAACCTCCTGACATCCACTGGGATCTCCAGTGAAGGGAGTTGGAGTCTAAATGGAGCTGAAAAATCAACCTCTTCAAAGAACTTTCAATGCGGCATCTCTATGTATGTAATAAGCATGTGTCCCTGAGTTAAATGACAACACGCTGAACTGATGACACCTCCTCCACTGTTTGAAAGACTCAGAGGACAATGGCAAGCAGGAATAGAAAAAGCCTGATGCTGGCCAATTAAAGATGGGATTGTGCAAAGGCCAGGAAAGGTCACATGCAGAGAAGGCCAGCTTAGCCATGGCCTAAGTTCAAACCTGGACCTCCAAGTGACATTTCAGGAAGTCCCCCTCTCCTATTCTTGGGTAATTACAAAATAAGTAGGTCTCTGGAAGAATGAGTTGTATAGGTTTTCTGAAATGAAAGGTCCTGGGACAACTGTAATAATGACAATAACAACAATAATAGCATGAGCTACCCGTCTAATATTTAATAGATATTTATTGAATACCTGCTATATGGAAGGCATTATGTCGGGTAATTTATAAATATTTTCTATAACTAATTTCAAGATAGATATTATTTGCAGATTACAAATGGGTAAATTAATGCTCGGTGAGGTAGTCAGTCTAAGGTCTCACAGGAGTAGGTGGTAGAACTAGGACTGAAACCAGGTCTGTATAACTAGAGCTGTGCTCTTTCCACTACAACAGACTGTTATGCCTGTGCTTTTTATGTGCAAATTACAGCTAAAGGAACTTGGATTAAAATAATAAACCAAAAAATAAAAAACAAAAAAATTCATTAAAAAAGTAACTTTAAAAAGAAAAACCTTCTGCAATGCATTATTCCAAAATCTGTGTGTATGCCAAAATATTACCTATGAAGCTTTACAATAGAGATGGTATAGCATGGAAACTAGTAAAGAATTCAATTTAACAATGAAGATTAAAATAGAAAAGTTAAATACAAGGTTCACGTTTGACTCCATGAGTTATTGGCTTCTACACCAACAGCTAGAAGGAAGTTTTAGGAAATACTCAGTAACAGATGTCCACATGGAGATGGAGTCACCAAGGAATGGTTTGGTGCAGTGAGAGAGAACAAACTCAGACCACAGTCGGCCACTTAATAGCTATGTGCGCTTAGCAACTTCGTTTAATAGCACAGAAACTCAGCTTTTGAATCTGTAAACGGGAATTATAATATCTACTTCAAAACTGTTGTGAAGAATGTTATATATATGAAATGCCTAGCACGCAATGATATTTTAATATAAAATTATTGTTGTTCTCAACTGCTAGTGTATGTTTCTGTTTTTCTCAATCGACTGTATCAGACACATAGAAATATTCTCTCGCAGAGAGTGACTGAAGAGACAAAGTCCACTTTTGCCATTTTATCAACTTTTCAGGATTTACAACCTAGAGGAGACTAGTCCTTCGAAATCAAAAACACAATATGGAGAGAGGAATTCCTAATGAACGGGAAATAAAAAATACGTCTTTACGAATGAAATGGATTGTAAATGGTGAACCACTGCGATTCCAAAACCAAGTAGTCCCCAGGCTGTCCTTTGAGATTCTGTCTTGCTCCATCGCCCATGAAATGCTGGGGACCAAGGGAGGTCAGAAACATTCCTAGAAACCACTGGCATGAAACAGCTGCACCACCCCAGCAGTTCCTCCTGCCCCTGACATGGCTTGTCCTTGAGGCCTGGCAGGCATGCTGCCTGTGCAGCCATTCAGGGGAAGGAGTGGCCCTTCCTCCTCGGCAGCTGGTGACCCAGCTGGGCTACTCCACAGCTACCTGTCGGATGTCATTACAGACTGAAGCGGTGAGATCAAGCTGCTTAGGAAAAGGGACAGAGACAAAGGCAGAGTTGTTTAGCTATACAGCAATGACGAGGGCAGGTTTCAAGCTGATTTGTTCATCTTTTTCAGTCTCCCCTCCCTCACGAGGATTTTTGTAGCAAGGTTTCTTTCCTTCCTACATTCTATTAAAATGAGCAAAAACCTCTGTAAATTCATGTGTGTTTGTTGGTTTGTTCCTTTCCTCCCTCTCTTTCAACACACACGGCACAGGAGAAAACTTAGGCTCTGAAGTTAGCTCTGGGTTTGAAAACTCAAATCTTATCACTTATTAACCACCTTGGATGGGCAAGTGCCTTTTCGTCTCTACATCTCATCCATGAAATGGGAATGTTAGTATCTATTTAGTAGAGTTGTTCTGAACACAAAAGATACGTTTTCAGTATAAATTAGGAACTTGATAAAATAGATCTATTATTAGTTATTGGTAGCAACACTGCTTTCAATTTTATCATCATTCTGAAAAACCTATAAGAAAAATTAATTTTCTTTAGGAGGGCAGATTCCTTTCGAACCACTGAATACCAACACTGTACCTCGTCCTAACGAAGGTGAAAAGACAATACTTTTTAAACTACAACACAGGGGAAATAGCGCCTGGATAATAATCAATACCTAGCCAAAGGGAGTCTGTCTGAGAATTCTGATGCAGGCAGTGACAAGGGTTTGACCTAGGAAATTAGAGAATTCCACTAACTGAAATATGGAAAAGATTCCCTATGCCTCTTTTGACACCTTATCTGACAGATGAGGAAATTGAAGCCCACAAGGTTAAAGGTCTTGATTAAGGTCACTCAGGTCATTGGCAAGACGACAACTGGGATTGAAATCTCCCAGTTGGTAGTTCAGAGGATTTTCCACCCCAGCCCACTGCAGAACATGTAGTCTATATTTAAAAGCATCCAAAGAAACTATTACTGTGAGCTGGCAACAACACTAAGCACTCTCCCTCTCTGTCCTCAAGGGACACACAGTCCAGGGAGGGAGATAGGAAAACGGAACATTCCAATGTGGTGTAACTCAGTACTGCAAAGTGTGCAAGATGCTTGGGGCAAAGGAGACAATCTTTGCTAAGCCTGTGAGGTGTCAAGGGAGGATTTTTCTGGAAATAAAATCAGAGTTGAGTTCTGAAGGATGAACATGTGTTATCCTGGCAAACAGGGGAGAGGAGGCAACGTTGAAGGCTGAGGGTGCAGAATGGGCTTCAGCAGAGGGAGGTGCATGGCAGTGCTGGGGGGCAAAGGGTGACACAGGGAGCCTAGGACAGGGACTGACGAGCAGGCAGGGGCCCGCTGTCCTATTCCAGCCTACCACCTGTGATCCGGGAGACGCTCATAATGGGATGACAGTCAGAAAGGGTCCGGGGGACATCTGGGACCTGTCCATTCTTCATGGAATCTCAAAGAAAGGAAGAAATTCAACTCCCTGGCCTGCCTTGAGCCCATAGGTTTCAGTATTCAGGGGTAGGGGTGGGAGAGGTGCAGATGACAAAAGCCAATCCTGTTTGGCTAACTCCCTCCTCCTGTTAATGATGACATGCTTTCTGAGTGATGGCTAATATTCTGCCCCACTTACCACGCTGAGATGAACAGACACTCCTGGGTCAGGGATGGGAAGTTTGTGCAGAGTTTCAAGAAGCTCATTCCACTGATTTTCCTGAAAGAAATAAAAGGCCTAAGTAACAAAAGCAAGGCTGAGCCGTCAGTAAGACACCTGCAGGGAGGTCTGGGCACATATGAGTGAGGGGCCGGGCAGACGCTGGCCCCAGTACAGAAATAGGTTTGATATTCAAGGAGGGTTGGACAAAAGACGCTGTGTATGCCTCAAACATAAGAGTCAAATAGATCCTCCCACACCAAGTTTGACATTTTCTACTCAGTGAGACACCTACCATGACCGCCTTTTATGGATCACATACCATAAGCTCTCAGCAAATCTATCCCCTCAACTCCATAGCAACAACTTTTAAATGCAAACAATCCTAGCTTACAGGGCGGGGGTGGTTGAGAGAAATAACGATGACACTATAGATCTTGTCTTCGTCATCATTACCCTCAATTAATTTTATTGAGTGTTTACTGGTACACGCGGCAGCCTCCAATTACGGAAAGTTAGAAATAAACTAAGTTAGAAATGAACAGCATGCAATTTAGGATGGTGGCTGTGCATTCTAATTAGTAAAACTGAGCAACATAATGACATACAAAGCAGTACAAATTATTCGATTGAAAATGGATTCACCTCTAAAATGCTCAAAAGAACACTGCTCACAGAATTATCTAAAGGCATTTCTCCCACCCTGTGGAATTCTTTGTGCTAATATAATAGTAATAAGTTTACATTCGTATCCATGTGTTACCTATTTGATCCTCCCAACTACCCCGCTTTACAGCTGTGAACACTGAGGCTCTGAAAAGTGAAGCAACTTGTCTCCAATCAGCCAGTTAGTAAGTTGCAGAGTGTGGGGGCGGGGCACGTGAGGGGAGCTTTTAGGTGAAATGCAGGTTTTGTGTGTTCAAGCCCAGAGCCCTCTTGGCCTCACGACAGCTGTCTTTGGTAGTGAACTTAAGAGAGGAAAAGGAGGATGAGCCCAGTCTACAAGTTTGTTTCAATCTGAACTCTGACAAATCAAACAAGCTCCTCACAGAGGAAAGAGATGAATTTATGGGTGTGTGTGTACGTGTGTTTAGTTTTGCTCTGAAACAATCTCAGACTTACAGAACAGTTGTAGAAACAGTTCAAAAAAACCTTTTTTTCTTTCCTGAACTATTTGAGAATGAGTTGCCAAGATTATGTCCCACTGTCCATAGATACAAGCAAGGACGTTCTCCTAAACAACCACAATTAATCATTGCTGTAGTTTGAATATGTCCCCTAAAAGTTCATGTGTTGAAATTTTAATCGCCATTCTAACAGTATTACGAGACAGGACATTAAAGAGGTAATTAGATCACAAGGGCTCTGTCCTCATGAATAGATTAATGCCATTATCATGAGAGTAGCTCCCGATAAAAGGATGAGTTGGGCCCTATCGTCTCTCTGTCTGAGTACTGTCCTCCATGTATGACACAGCCAGAAGCCCTCACCAGATGCCAGCACCATGCTCTTGGACTTCCCAGCCTCCAGAACTGTGAGCCGCATAAATCTCTTTTCTTTACAAATTGCCCAGTCTGTGGTATTTTCTTATAGCAGCAGAAAACAAACTAAGACAATTATAATGATCAGGAAATTAACACTGATGCAGCATTACCATCTAACCCTCAGATCCCATCAAGTTTTGCCAGCGATGCCAATAATATCCTTGACAGCAAATGCTGCAGTTCAGAATTACAAGTTGCGTTTAGTAGTTATGATTCTCTAGTCTTCCAAAGTCTGGACTAGCTCCTCAGTCTTTCGGAGATTTGTATGACTTTGGTAGTGAGACCACCCATTTTGTAGCATGACTCTCAACTGTCTGATATTTTCTCACGATTTAGATTTCAGTCTGTCTCTTTATTGATGATGTTTGCTTTCATTTGATTAATTCATCTGATGTCTTTACTGTGAGGTTACTCTTTCCCTTTGTGTTAAATAAGTATTTTGTTGAACGATATTTTACGTCAATATCTCATTCCTTAAACTTTCAATTTATCAACTTATTTATTTGATAAGTGGGAGCCCCCTTGCCCCTTTAAGCTGATTTTTGTGTCTTTCTGACATGTCCCCATCATGTTTTGGGCACTTCCTTACTTTTTGGCTCAAAAGATAGTTCAGATTTGACTTATACTTTTCCTGCCCCAGCCCTGGGAATCAGGTATTTCTTCAACGATCCTTTTAATGGAGAATGGTATTTAGAAACCACGATATGGGCACCAGGTGAGCTCATCGCTCTGTGGTATTGCTGATGCCAGGCGCTTTCAGCGGATAGAACCAGGGAATATAATGGATCTGCAACCAGCACTTTACAGGTCTGTATCTATCTGCACATATTAAAAGCCATGGGTTCACACCGGTGGCTCCAATTCCAATCCAATATAGGAATCATTCTAGTTTTCTCCCTGTACATATTTGTGACTATATTCTATAAAAGTGAAAAATCTTGCCATTTTTTGAATCTACTTACTTACTTGTATGGAACCACTTTTCTGTTGCTGCCCCTGCCTCCTTCCCCACCCAGCTGCCCTCCTTGGCACTGACATCCAGGGCTGGGCTCCCCCATCCACCCCCTCACATGAATGCCTGCCCCACCTCAGAATCCAGCGCCTCAGCGCTGGGCCTCTTCTGCTGCCCCTTCCCAAGGGGATCCCTCTAGATCCCACTTGAGTTCCGACATCCCGTGCTGAGCTGCCACCACCACCCTCGTGCATGAACATCCTCTTCATCTCCCTCAGGCTCCAACACCCTGAGCCAGGCTGCTCCCTGGCGAGATGTCCCCCTTGCCCCTTTATCCCTTCCACATGGATGCCCTCAGTGCCCCACGATAACCATGCCAGGCCCATGACCCAAACAGACACCCTCATCATGTCTCTCACCTTGGTCTCCCACACTCTGTGCTGAGACGTCAGTCTCAGTGTCTCTTACACGTGTGTGCATACATGTGCACATACACAGCCTGCCTTGCCCTACCTTCCCAATGACTTTTGGATGGGAGAAGGTTTTTTTGTTGGTGGTGGGGGGACTGTTTTTTAATAAAAACTCTTTCCTCCTATTCTAATCTGGTGAACAATGCCTTGCAAACAATTAAGCCAGTTGCAGGCAGATTCCCTATCATCCATGTCCTAATTCCTTTAACCAAAAGAAACTTAATAAAAAGAGTCCTGAGTTCAGAGGAAACAACTCCAACTAAAACACGTTCCTAATCTCAGTGTCTAACACCTCCAAGGGGCAGGGTCCTTGCTGGAGCAATGGTCCAGAGAAAAGGTTCACCAGTTTTACAGGGTAATAATCTAGTCTCCCCTGTGCTTCGGTTGTACCTGCCCAACCTTCCTGAATCACAAGACATGTTTTAAAAAGCGTACTAAGTTCTTTGGGTAATTTTTTTTTTTTTTTTGACTGACTGGAGCGTATGGAGGAAAATAAATGTGAGTCAATCTCCAATTCAAAAACTGTTAAAAGCCTACGTGTTATACAATTGTATTTATTAAAGACATCTTTCAAATTTGAGTGAAAACCTGAATGTTTGACTAAAGATAACTGTGAATCAGAAATCAATGAGCAGACCCAAGGTGACCTCCCAACTCACTCATCAAAGAGGAAATCACTTCTTTTATGCCAGAATTTCCTGATGTCTAAGCTTCTTTTCAGAGTGAGGGTAGTGATCAAGGGAGCCATTTCTATTAGTTACTCCTTCCATTTACTGTGACCTCTGGAATACATTTGCCAGGAGTAAATCTATCTCTAAAAAGAGATTTATCCATTATACACACATTTGCTACCTTTCCCCTAAAGCGTGTTCCAGGAGACGCTGCTACCTCAGAATGTTAGTATCTGTCATGGAATACAAAGGGTTTGGGGCCCAAATGAGCTGGGAGACACTAACAGGTTTCTCCACTGCAGGACTTCTCAGAGCCTACATTATATGAACCTTAGAGAGG